AAAATTTTTTTTTTTTTTTTTTTTTTTTTTTTTTGCAGTTAACTGTCGAATAAAACAAATATCGATAACTCTGCTAATGAGTACTTAATTCTGGCATGTGTTGCCATCCGGGTTACTTCCGAGTGCCTCCGCCTCTCACAGAAAGCAGATACGGAAAAAGTTTTGATTTTTAACTTGCGTTACGTCTTAAGAGCTTGATCTTTGATGGATTTTATAATCCAGTTCCTTGCTTTTCTAAACGGATGTTGGGATATTCACGTTTTTTACTCGCTTTTTAGTGATATTAAAGTGATTTAAAATGAAAATAGCTCATATATGTATTGACATATTATATGTGTATAATACTAGTTTTTTTTTAGTGGTTTATTTAGGCTTTCATCACTGCTACCATATCTACCGTTATTGATGGATCCGTTGGTGTACGCTTTGAACGGAAGCAGCAGTCTCATCCATCAGGTAATTTAAAAATTCCTCGTAAAGGATAATGAGATTGTCCTAACACTGTGCCGCTATATTCAGAGTCTGAAACTTATTTCCACGGTGAGGTAAATATAAATTTTTCGGCGATAATATAGGCACCTTTTCCCATGACGAGATAAATACTTTTCCCACGATAGCTTAGTTGCCTTGCCAAATTTACTTGTGCTTCTTGCGTTTTTGCGATTTTAGCCATTTTCCCATCTTTTAAATGTCATAATTTTTATCATTTTGTTATATTTTTCTGGTACATCTTTGTCTTGTGTTTTAGTGTTGTTTTTGTATTTATTCTTTTGAAATTTTAGTTGATTTTTGACTTATGTTTTGGTTGCCTTTGCCTCTTTTTTCTACTGCTGTTATAACGAACGGATGACTGTTTTTAATGTGAAAAAAAATTAGTCAGTGAATCAAAAGAATTTTTGTCATAGGGCTTACGTACTCTTGAATTATGTGTCGATAATCTGCAACCGGACTATCTTTTCGAACATATGGCACCGGTTCGTGCTCAATTAATGCGTGGACTGTGGCAATGTCTGACAACAGTTCAGGACAAAACGGCTCCAGTCGTAGCGTTCGGGTGATTTTTTTTAAAATCTGTTTTGTCAGTTGTGCGTACACTTTAAAACAGGAAATTGCAAGACGGAAGAAGAAAGTTGTAAGAGTGTTTGTTGACAGGCATGACGCTAAATTAGGAAAGAACTTGGCTGGGATGACATTAGTGAGGAGTGGAATTATAATTTTTGAAATTATAATTAATTATAATTAATAGGAAATAGATCTTTTCTTTCTTGGAAAAGCTGTTTTTCAACTTTTTTTTCTCCATCTGTCTAGTTGGCGACTTTTCCAGTTGCTTTGATCATTCCTGTTGGCTAGTTTTATGTGTTTCTTATTTGCGTTTTCTTTTTCGGAAGGGATTATCATTTCAACGGATTTCTCAACAGAAGCACTTGACAAGATTTCAGATATTAATAGGCTTTAAGTATTAATAGCATCACCAATTGATGTATAGGCGGATCAAAGGGAGAGGGGAGGGGGGGAGGGGGGACAAAGGGTCTTTCGCACCCTCTCCTATCTCAACGGCTCAGGCACCAGTGCTGCATAGCCTGGGTCTGTTCATAAGTAAAATAAAGTAACTCGAAGTAGCAGTGTTACAACCCTATTCCTAGTTTTTGTAAAAAGTGTGGGAGGGGGCTCTCTCTTCACACCCTTCGCTCCCCTCCTCGCTCCAGAAGTCCGTCCTGGATCCACCTATGAGCTGATCTTAGACACTGCCAGTTCTTGACCACTATGAAGTCCCGTGTCAACCCGGATGAAGCAGCGGATGAGATATGTTAGAGACAGGAATTAGAAGTGAGAAATTGATAAGTGGTAAGTGTTAGAGATCGAAGCATACTTGTTTCCTGTTTTTAAACATCTGGAATCTGGGAATTGGTGACATTCTTCAGAATTATGGGGAAATTTGGAGGATCCAATCGAAAAATGTTAGCCGATGCGCAACAATTGTATTATCGTGAGGAGCATCTGTTCGATTCACCAGCATTCCGATTAGCCTTCGAACGCAGCCCTCCAGCTTCGCTTGTAATGAATGAACAACCAGCACCGGCTGAAAATCAGCAGATGGAACAGGTTACATTTCGCGTTATAGCTCTAGGGGAATACCGAAGCAAGATGGTAAAGTATGACGTACCCTACAACGTACGCATAGATGTTTAGTGTAATTCTGCATCCATGCAGCTGGCAACTTTCCAATTGCTTTGACCAATGCTGCTTCGCCTTTTGGTCAGCCTGTTGTTGGTGGTCCTAACGTTTATCATGATTTCTGAAGGGTTTGCAGACTCACTGGTCCTCCTGATAATAAAACTGCTTGATAAAGTGGAAAAAGGGGCAAGGGAGAGAGGAGGGGAAACTTCAGGAGTTTGAGATGTGCCTTACGTAGATTAGACTTCGATTTCTTATAGAGAATGAATTAGAAAAGAAGTTCTCATTGTTTTTTATTTTCATCCTTCCTTTATTTATTTAATATTTGATTACTCGTTGAATTAGCGCAGAATTATAACTATTATTCAAGGAATAGTTATCAGCTAGTTATAATTTTTTTTCTGAAAATATTAAAGATTATGTGAAGAATTAATGAGTTTAGCTGAGTTTGGGATTCTTCGGTCCATTAATTTGCATACGTCTGTACGTTTGTTTACTTCTCACTTTATCTGTTAATTGCATTTTTTTTTTCGCTTTTTTTTCATTTACCTATTTTAGACCGAAACTGCCCCTCCACTGATTTGTGAACTGACTGTTTCGGAAGTTGTACGCGAAACGGTGCGACATTTGCGCTCTCCGTTCCTCATTGATTCACCGTTTGTCAAGGCAGCCACATCGGGTCCACCAGCATCAATACGAATTTCCTCTGCTGCTATGCGAATGCATGCATTTCGAATTGTTCGCGGTGTTATTTTGGGTGCATTTGTACCGGCAAAGCATGGAATTTTGTTGAATCCTCATTTCAAGCAGCACATAACCAACAAACTTCTGGTAAATTTTAACAATACTAATGAATAATAATTAATAATATAATCATAGTTGTAATGTAATAACATAATACGATAGCACAATAATGAAATAATATAACAATAATACAATGATATAATAATGATAATATGACAATATAATATAATGTAGTATAATAATACTGCGATAATATAGCAAAAACATAATAATTTAATAATATTGTAATATGATGATAATGCAGTGATAATGAGCGAAGTAATAATATTATAATATTACAATATTCAATATTATAATAATATAACAACGATATAATACAATAGTATTACATAATAATACAGCGTAATAATATAACAGTGTAATATAACAGTATAATGTAACAGTGTAACATAATATAATGTGTAATATAATAAAATAATATAATAATGTAATAATATAGTACAATAACACGACATAATAATCCAGTAATACCATAATACAATAATAATATAATAACAGTACAGTAATAATATAATGGTACAGCAAGAATATAATAATGCAATAGTGATATAATAGTATAATAATATAAGTAATAAAGATAAAAATAACTATAATAGTAATTGTTTTTCAATTGTAACCCAAAGCTAAAATAAATGTAACCCAATGTATCTGTTGGTGAGGGTACCAAAACCGTAATAACAGGGCGAAAACACCCGGCATATGAGTATCGTAGTAAAATCGCAAAAAACGATACCCCTTGCTGATTGTCCGGGCAGTTTGGATAGTTTTAATCTATTCGTTTTTAGGCTGTACTGACGATTCCCACTCCTACCCACATGCGTAGTCCGGTCTGTGTTTGCAGCTAAGTGATGAAACACACAGAGACTGCATCGTAAAATATCACCTTACTGCATCTGAACGATGAAAAACAATTTGCACCGTAAAATATCACTTTACACATAACGCCTGAGTGCAATCCTTCTGGTCTATTATTTTAATTGAAGTGATGAAATATTTGCTGATGATCTAAAATGACCCATTTCATACTGGCAATCCGAAATTCCTAAGGAATACATATCTGTATATGTATGTGTACAATGTATAGTGAAGGGATGCTGTTATTTTCTTCGCTTCAGGAAATAAAATCGAAGAACACAGAAGGTTATCAGCCGGCATATCAGTGCAACAGTCGAGGCTCACGATCACTTTACATTGATGCCTTACTTGGACTTTTTTGTAAGTTCTTC